TATCAGCTCGTTCGAAATTTCATTTCCTTCCTTTTCACAACTCGAATTTTGTCCCTTGTCGCGATTCTTGAAAACGCGTCTTACCGAATTTCTTCGAACCTCGGCAAATGCAATACCACGTAACAACATTATCCCGATATAATAATAAAATAATAATAAATCAATTCACCGGTATTTTTTCACTAAACTATATTTCTTTTGTCACATATGAGATATTATTATTCTTTTTATTACGTTAATATATATATATTTTATATATATATATATATTATATGTTAAAATAGTTATATATTCTCTTATTGAAAAGGACACATACGCAGCACTGTATATACAAACACTTCTCACTAAAAAATATTTTACGATATCGTAGAATCTATCATTAAGATCGCATTTATAACGCCCTCTGTATTATTCGATTTATTTTAACGAATAGGAAACGTCGATAAGAACAGAACAGAACAGAACAGAACAGAGCAGAAGAAACAAAAAAAAAAGAAAGAAAAATAAAATGGAAGGATATAGATGAACAGTAAGTAATAAAATAAGGGGGAAAAATAAAAATATAAATTATAAAAAGAGAAAAGAGCAAAAAAAGATTTTGAAGACTATATCGAAGCTCTCAGAAAGATACGAACACTGATGATTCTTGCGATTGTAACTGAATATATATATATTTCTGTATGTTAAGTATACCTGTCGATGGGCTAAACCAATATGGGTTCTCTTCTTATCGTTAGATATCCGTTGATAATACCAAGTACAATCTCATTGGAAAAGCGATAAACGTTTCTATCAAAGGAGACATCATATATATATATATATATATACACATATATATATATACACACACACACACACACACATGCACACAATAAATATATATATATATGTATATATGTATATACACAATTGAGACATCTTATTGATTGTTGCGATATTATAGCTTTTTATATGATTTGTATTTGTATAATTCGAGATGTTAAACCACACTAATTGAGAGTGATATATGTGTATATAAATATATATATATATACACACAACACATATAATTTGATTGTACTGCGATTTATTTTTAAAATGTTTTTTTTCTCTTTTATATATATGTATGTATATATATATATATATATAAATATTATATATATATATTATGTGTATGTATATATGAAAAAAGAAAAGAAAAGAAAAGAAATTTCGCCTCGTCCATCGCTTACTTGTAAATAAATTCTTAATTTGTATATATTCTCTTTGGAATAACGAAAATTTGTTTCTATCATTCGCAAAGGAAACATCTAATCGTTAATTTTCCTTCTCTTTATTTATCATACCTCTTCATTTGTGTGTTTTTTTTTTCTCTTTTTCTTTTTCTATTTCTTTTTCTAGATACTAACTAGTCGTGAGAATGACATCACTCGGATAGTTCAACCTTTGTCACATCTCTCATTGGACGATATGCGAAAGTTACTTTTTCGTTGGACTGTACGTTGCTAAGCCTGCTTGACTCCTACCAAGATTAAGGTAATGTTCGTACCTCTTATGATACAATAGCTATGTAGTCATTTCAGTACTCTATGGTGCTTCTACTTGGATTGCCGCAAAACGTTTCGAGTTTTTGCGTGGGAGCGTGCGAAAAATATTCGGAGTGACTTTTTCATTTCCCAAGAAAAACAGAGCAAAAAAGAAAATTAAAGGTACGAAAAGAGATCTATTTCTTTCCTCACCTTGAAACGATTAAATCGTTATATACAGGACTTCCCTTGATTAATTATTCTTTTAATTAAATGCATACATTTTGAATGGTGTGAAAAATTATGTAAATTGTAGTTCTAATTAACATATAACGTTGTATACATGTAAGGTACATATATACAACAATAACATTTAATATATTCTTATCGAATAGAAAAAGAGAATCAAAGTTATCGAATAGAAAAAGAGAATCAAAGTTATCGAATAGAAAAAGAGAATCAAAGTTATCGAATAGAAAAAGAGAATCAAAGTTATCGAATAGAAGTTCCTTTTTAGTTGGATTAAAATTATGCTCATCGATGAGTATCATTTGTATCTAATTTTTGTCATCGTTAAGAAATACCATCCAAGGTATTCGATAAGAAATTCATAAGTCATATAAAACTTACCGTGACGTAGTATCAAATTTCTGGTTTCCACTAAGGGAAACCACCACGATCACCAACCAAAGGCGTTGTAAGTACACTGAAATTGATAAGAGATTATTAATAATAAGATTTCATTCTCCTTACACAACGATATCAGTTTGATACAATATATAACTATAAAAAATCTATTTACTAGCATAACATTTGGAAAAAAATTCTATCGAGCAATGATAATACTCTATAGAGATGATTCACATGTTCACTTTTTAACATCATTTTTCCTATCGGTACAAAAAGCAATGTTTAGAATGACACAAGATGGAAACTCATAAATTCAAATTGTTAATACCATGATATAATGATAGAAAACATATAATGATACGTTTCTATCAAAGAAATATGGTATTATAATATAAGAAAGACGTAAAAAGTTATTGTGTCATGTCAAAAGACGAAGACGAAGTGCAAAGTACATAATAGATATCTTTTTAAAGGATCTAAACGCATACTCAACGAGTGTGCACTCGTGATCGCGATATCGGTCGTGCTATATGAAAATAATTAAAAAAAAAAAAAAAGAAAAAAAAAACGAAATTCCAAAGAGAACAAAAAAAAGGAAAAAAAAAAATTGAAAATTGAAATATTAAAAAATAATAATAAAAAAAAAAAAAAAAAAAAAAGATAAAAGAGATAGAACAAGAAAAGAGAAAAGAAAAATTAGACGGGTGTACGGGTAAAACGATCAAACGATCATTCAAAATCGAAAATACGATTAGATCAGCTGTTTGTTGGTATGAATCGAGTCGCGTGCGAAAGCGAAGTGGAGGAGTGTCGCGTAAGTCGCTCTCGTAACGTAATACGAAAGGATTTAATATACCTGTCTCTCTCTCTCTCCCTCACTTTTACTCTCTCTCTCTCTCTATCTACCTATCTATCTATCTCTCTCTTTCCGCGAAAATATAAATTTAATGATAAACGATGTTGGGATCTAAGAAGTAGGGACAATCGGAGGTCGTTCGTGTCACTCTGCTCCTTTAAATCTATCGATTGGACTTCCTTGCGTACACCGCACGAGCGAACGAAATTAGGTTAAAACTGCAGCGCGATTCTCTCTCTCTCTCTGTCTTACTCACTCTGTCTCCCTCACTCTCTCTCTCTCTCTCTCTCTCTCTATCACGTACACCCACACACACACACTCATTCGTTCTTCCTCGAAACCGATACTCGTCGTTCGCGTAACATTGATTTTCTGAAATGGCCAATGTAAACGATCGTTGATCTTGTTTAGTATTTTTTCGAAGAATTGACAATGACAAAAAAGAAAAAAGAGAGAAAAGATTGAAAGAGCGAAAGACAAAAAGAGAGAGAGAGAGAGAGAGAGAGAGAGAGAGAGACAGAGACAAAGAAAGAGAGAGAGAGAGAAATGAGAATAAAGACAAAGATGGACACAAGTATAGAAAATAGAATTGTTCATTCTTATGAAAGAAAAGAATCATGGAAGGAAGAAAAAATAGACTAGGTCCATGTCGTTTTCTCTTTCTCTCTTTTTCGTGCTTATACACAATCACACACACACGTAAAATCACCTATATTTGCACAGAGACGCAGAAGACACATACGCGTACAAACACACACACATATATATATATGTATATACACTTCATCACCTTGCACTCTTCCTCGTCTTCGTACATCATCGTCAGGAACGAAAGATTTGTTGATAGGGTGACGGTCGAATAATAACACCCAAGATGATACACACCATCAGACGACTGCCATCACTTTTATTATCAAACTCGATCGTTGCACGTTCGCGCACTCGCGTAAGAAGAGACGAATAAGTTATATATGTATGAATGTACGTATATATGTATATGTTATGTTATGTTATATACGTATATATGTATGTATATGAGAAGGACAAGTTTATAATCGCACTATTGGACGCGTCGTCGCCGTCGCCGTCGCCGTCGCCGTCGTCGTCGTCGTCCTTGCTTATTCTTGCCTTCTTATGCACGGACTCTCTATTTCTCAGTCTCTCTCTTTCTATATCTTTCTTTCTTTCTCTCTATCTTTCTATTTCTCTCTATCTTTCTTTCTATGAATATATATATACATATATATATATATTCATAGAAATATATATATATATACGTTCTATACGAGACAAGAAGAGTAACGTGTGATCCGTTCTCTCTCGGATTCAAGAAAGAAAGAGAGAGAGATATAGGACCGATGTTGGTTCAGAAGAACGAGGGCTTAACACAATGAGTTTAAAACTCACGTTAAATATAGGATCATATCGAGAGTAAAGAGCCGCGTGAGATCAGCGTACGAGATGGGTTTTTGCACGAATTAGTGGTGGTGGTAGTGACGATAGTGGTGGTGGTGGTGAGAAGGGGGAATTGGCGAGGGCAGAGGAGCGGATTGGTTCGTTCATAGCGCCACTCTCGGATTAATTCAGAAATACACGATTTGGTAGTAACGCGGTCGGAATATCGTGCTTACTTTGAGCGTATTAAAGCGTCATAATCCTCTTCGACTCGTATTATTACATTACCTCAGCCGTAACCTGATTGGTTCATAACATTTGTTCACGACCAATCGGCGATAGTAACTTGGTACAGTCGAATGCATCGTTCGGAGATTGGTCGAAATATTTCATTGGGATTCTAGAATATATTTATGTATATATATATATATATATACATATACATATGTATGTGTATGTGTATATAATTTTTATGTTTTATTTTATATATAAAATAATCTTTTTCTTTTTACATATAATTTTTTTTTCTTTTTCTTTTTTTCAACTTTTATTAACTCAGAACGATACCTGCGTTAATTAGAGATCGTATTTGTTTCTCATAAAAGAAATTTAATAAAGAAATATTTATCAAAGACGTAGGATATTCGGATTAACAGTTTAACATTATTTATTATTTTTAGGTTATGGATCATTTGAAATTCGTGCGAAGACTTTTAGTCTTGAATTCTCCCCCTCTCTATCTCTATATATACATATCTCTCTTTCTCTCTCTCTTTTTTTTTCTCGTATAGTTAGAAACACGACGTTCAAAACGATACGTCAGAAGGTGAGCGAGCGAAGGAACGAAGGAGCGGACGAGTGAGTTAGTAAGTTAGTGAGTGAGTGAGAGTCTGTTAGAGAAATTTTTTTATTCAAAGTTGGTAATATCACGAAGAAGTGGAATCATTGGTCCTAACGGAAATTCGGCAATGCAGACATGGCGCGAAATAGAGCCGGCGCTGTCGGTCCGTTCCACGTTTAATCCGTACGGATATATACCGTAGAATAAATTCCAATTTTTTTTTTTATTTTTTTTCTTTTAATTTCATTTTCTCTCTCTCTCTCTCTCTTGCTATCTGTCCTTCCTCTTCTGTGTCGTTATGCGTTCGTAGTGTTCGTAAGAGGATCGAGAGGTTGGACGCGCGCACGTTCCTTCTATACCATATAACATATCGTACCACATAACCATAACCACCAACTACCACAACCACAGGCACCGCCACCACTACTACTACACCATAATCGCGAAAGGTTTCTAATAGTGTTCTTCGGTTTATGCGCTTGCGTGTGAGTCGCGTCGTTGTGTTGTTCTGTCGTAATAGTCGTATTGCATTGTCATCGTTGTAATAGGTGATAGTAGTAGTAATAGTAGTAGTAAAGAGTAATAGTAGTAGTAGTAGTAAGAAGTAATAGTAGTAGTAGTGTAGTAGTAGAGTAGTATGAGTAACTATTCGCAATCATTGTCATCGTTGTCATAGTAGTAGTAGTGATAGATAGTAGTAGTAGTAGTAGTAGTAGTAGTAGTGATAGTAGTAGTGGTAGTAGTAGTAGTCGTGTGTGAATGACGTTAGAGAAACGATGAAACGTTACTGCTGCTGCTGCTGCTGCTGCTGCTCCTGCTGTTACCGCTACTACTACTGCTGCTAACAACACTGCCGCCGTCGCTGCTACTGCTGCTGCTACTACTGCTACTGCTGCTAACACAACATATACACGAATACGGTCCTCGCGGCAATGGGAAAAGTGGCGGCGTATGCGCGGCTCCAAGCTAGAGAATTTTTCTCCCTCGCGGATGGCAACCTGGATATCGATTGTCATTATTTATATCGTACGTTTCCTCTTCAGTCATCGATTCACTTTTTACATTTTACATTTTTACAGTAATGAGAGAGTTAAGTTTAGATAGCCGTACGGTACACTAAGTTACCCCGACCCGAGGAAAAAAAAAAATAATAATAATAATAATAACAATAATAATAAATAATTAATAATAAAGGAAACGACAACAACAAAAAAAAAAAAATTTTTCGGAACACAAAAAAAAAAGAAAGAACGAACGAAAGAACGAAAGAAAGAAAGAAAGAAAGAAAGAAAAAGAGAAAGAAAAATAAACCTTCCCTCGATGTGTGATCACAGGTGTTTTTGAGGGAGTCGAGTGAAATAGAGAATGACGGATAGCCAGCAGCAGTTTTGCTTGCGGTGGAACAACTTTCAGGCGAACATCACGAGCCAGTTCGAGGCGTTGCGAGACGATGAGGACTTCGTCGACGTTACATTCGCCTGCGATGGCAGGCGACTTCAGGCTCACAAGGTCGTCCTATCCGCTTGCAGCCCTTACTTCAAGGAGTTGTTCAAGGTTAGAAAACCGTTTCTTCCCGCTCCCCACCCTACTTTTCTTCCTTATCCCCTCCTACCTCCTTCACCCCTCGACCCCTTCTTCTCTCTCTCTCCCTCCTCTCTCCTTTCCTCCCTCCCTTCCTCTCTCTCTCTCTCTGTTGCTTCTTACCCCTCCACCATCTCCTCTTCCCTAATTTCGGTCTCTCTCTGTCTATCTCTCTCTCTCTCTCTTTCTTACGCTTACATATTACTCCTCCCTTCCCCCTCCTCGCCTCTTCTCGTCATCATTCCGCGCCTTCCCTCTCTCTCTCTCTCTCTCCCCCCCCGTTTCCCCCTAACACGTTTTCGATTCCTCTTCTCTTCTCTCTCTCCTCTGTACTCTACTCCTCTTCGTCATCCCTCCGTTCGTCTCTTCGTTCCATCTCTTTTTCATATTTCTATATGTGCTTCTTGCTCTCTGCTATGTATGCGCACGTAATATGCATCTTCTTAGTCGCTTCGTCCGACCGTTAATAATTCCAAAATTACACAATACCTATTTTGCGCTACGTGTCCCAGCCGTTTTCTTATCTCCCCGACACGTTTAGCTCTCCTTCTCTCTCTGTCTCTCTTTCTGTCTCTCTCTCTCTCTCTCTCTCTCTCTATCTCTCTATCTCTATCTATCTCTCTTCTCTCTCTCTCTCTCTCTCTCTCTCTCTCTCTCTCTCTCTCTCTCTCTCAAATTTGGAGCCATATCGCACTTCGTGCGCCAATGCAGATGCGCTTTTGTTTTTTCTGTTTTTTTTCTTCTTTTTTTTTCTTTTTTCTTTTTTGCTTTATCTTTTTTTTTTCCTTCCTTTATTTCTTTTTTTCTTTCTTTCAACGTACAGCAGTAGTAATTAAAACCGATTAAACCGATAACTGTTCCGAAATATCATGCACTGTTACGAAAGTATATGGTATTTTAATTATCGAAGTTTCTTCAAATTCTTTTCTGTTTTTTTTTTTTTCTTTTTTTTTTCCTACGTTTCTCTTTTCTTCTTTTTTCTTTCTTCCTTTTTATTCATTTATATGTATTTATGTATATTTACATGTGCATATATATATATATTTTTTTTTATTTATATATTTTTATCTATTCTTCTTTTTTTCTTTTTATTTTTCTTTTCTTTTTTCAAGAAATATTGAAAATTAATTAATTTTATAGCACACACACACACACTCTCTCTCTCTCTCTCTCTCTCTTACTCTCATGTGTTATTTTAATAAATTGTTTTGTACGGTATACGAGAGAATATGGAAATTTTTATAATTAGAAAATTAGGATTTTAATTTATTGTTTTCTCCCATTTTTTTTTTCGCTTTCTTCCTTCTTTTTCTTTTTCTTTTCTTTTTTCTTTTTTTTTTCTTTTTTTGTTAACATTTTGTTCCCTTAACGATATTTATTTTTATTTCGCATTTTTTTTTTTTTTTACATATAAGAAATATAAATAGAAAATGAAATAATGTTAAAATTTAAAATAGTATCTCTCTCTTTCTGTTGCATCAGCCGTTCAGAGGCCAATGCGATTAAAACTTTGCTTTTAGAATTTTCTTAAATTGAAATTGCCAAAGTAGTTAACTTCTTATATTTAAAATAAATTTCTTCAATGGCCAGTCTTAATATCATATTAAATGGGACAAATTTTTTTATGGCCGTTGAATAATGAACACCATACGGTGCATATAACTTTATTAATTTTGTATACTTTTTCTTTTATGATTTTGTCAAACTGTCAGCCGCTCGAATACGATTAATATACGATAAAATATATTTTATATATTTCTTATTTGATAACAGTCTGTATGTTGTAAAAAAAGAATATTTTTAAACAGTTTACTAATATTATTAACTTTTACAGACCAATCCCTGCAAACATCCAATAATTTTTATGCGGGATGTGGAATTTGAACATTTACAATCACTGCTGGAGTTCATGTATGCTGGCGAAGTAAACATTTCACAAGCTGAATTGCCTACTTTTCTACGTACAGCTGAATCTCTACAAATCCGTGGTCTCACCGACTCTCAGAGTAGTCAGCACAACAACGAAAAGGTAATTAATATTATAATGTATGTTATAAAAAAAGTTTGCATTATAAAGTAGAAATATAATTTGAATTTTTATATAAAATATTGTAGCACTTGAAAACGAATAATGTTCACGCATCAAATGGCCGTGGTCTGATCTCACCGAGTTTGGACGATGAGCGCAGTAAAACACCACCACCATCGAGCCCTCCACCATTAAAAAGGCTGTGTAAAAGAAGTGATTCACCTCAAATCTCTAGTCCAACACCTACTGTGACGCCTTGTGCTAGCAGTACACCTCTCTCAAGACCGCTTATAGAACCGCAAGTTCAGCTTGACTGTTATAAGGATATTGATATTGTGGAGGTAATTATCGTACACATAATATATCTTAATTTCTTGTTGTTATTTAATGTCATATATATTATAATTTTAGCCAAAAGTAGAACTACCTGAATATGGCAGCGATGACGATTGTTCATCAAAACAAGAAGTTAACACGTTACCTGGTGGTTTCCTTAGTTTGGATGGTGGTATGGAAGTGTTACCTACATATCCACCATCTTATCAAGGTACAAATGTTACCTTTTTCTGTATTTATTTATTTATTTTTTTTCTTTTTTCTTTTTGTGGTAAACAAATCTAAGTCTATAGAAAAGAAGAATTGAAACAAAAAATATTATAAGATACGTTTTCTTTTTTTTTTTTTTTTTTTTTTTTTTTTTTCTTTTTATTTTAGGAACCAGTATGGAAGGTGGTATGCCTGGACCTTCACATGGGAACAATGAGCTGAATCAAGAGCAGCAAGGTGAGTCTATGATTTATATTCTTTTTGGTAGTGCGAGCACCATTACAAACAGCAACAACCTAGCCATTACATCAGAACTGTATAATGAGAGAGTAGAAGCAAGGAAGGAGAAAGGAATCTTGATCGTTTGAAATGGTAAGCTCGTGTGTAGCTCGGTAGGTCTTGGTAGGTGGTAGGAGACATTTGACACTCAGAGGCTAAAATAGGCCCAAGTCCACAGAGTGCAGTTTGCAGTTAATCAGCTGTATTGTATGAACGTTACCGATATAGCCCGAATACCATTAACAACAATGTCCTGCGTGTACATAATTAAAAATACCCATCCCAATAAGCTTCATAATTTTTTTGTTCTCATGCTTTCACGTGCGTATATATGCATCGCGTATATATGCGTATATACATATATTAGTACTACACCTTAACGCTGCATTCAGACTCTGACGAGTAAGTGCTTCTTGTTAAATTTAATGCTCCAGTAACTTCGTCAACGAGAACCATCTTGCTATCACCAGCATCATTTGCTTTCTTGTTTACTAATGATAAAGATCCATACATACGATTTCGGTCGGTTATAAATGTGCTATGTACATATTGCTTTGATTTTAAATGATAAATGATTTTTTTTTTTTTACATTTCGTTTCGTGCACTATATTTCTGCATTTGAGTGTACTTAAGAAAGTGCAATGATTAGTAAATAATTAGTTACACGCACAGAGTGATAGTACGATATTGATTGTGCAAAAGCACTCATTCATTCTCTATTTATTTTACTTTTCGAAATTTAATGAAATCAATTTTAGAATTATAATATAAACGAGATAAAATATCTTGACACGATTATCGGGAAATATTTGAACTTATTAACGGTTAGCAACATTCAAGAATATAAAAGTCTGATTTTCTGTGTAACATGCACGAGTCCACCATACCATAAAAAAAATTCACAAGGCCAAGACCATTATTCCTAACGGATTTTCATTATTCGCTGATCCATGCTTACCATTGTTTTCAAACTATGTGTTTTCCCTTACCACAATATCGTTATGTTATCTATGATTCAATTCATTATATCCTTGCAAGTTGCTATCTTGCAGGATTACATTATACATGTACCGTGCAGGCAGCAAATTTGGGTAGTGCTAAATAGGGTTTTTGCTGGTTGTTGCTGTCCTGTGGTGGGTGGTATCATTTTGATATTATTCATGGTGTGAATAAAGCGTGGTGCTATGCTATGGTAACGTGTTATGCTGTGGGCTGCTACCGGTTAGAGCAAGTTGTGTGTGTGTTGCAGCTGACCTGCGTAAACTGCACTCGCTGGACCCACGCCCCTGTCCTGTGTGCAACCGCATGTACAGTAACTTGTCCAACCTGCGGCAGCACATGCGCCTCATCCACAACCCTCAGAGTGTCACATGCCCTCTATGTAACAAGCCCTTCAAGACCAAGCTGTACCTCAAACGTCACCTGGTCAGTTTCCACGAACTCAGTGTGGCGGACAGGCAACGCCAGGAGGAAATCTACCATCATCAGGTTAAAGTTCAGGTTCAAGGACAGGGTCAGGCACAGGTTCAGGGTGGAGCTCAGGCTCAAACACAGACACAAGTTCAGGCTCAAACACAGGCTCAAATTCAGGCTCAAACGCAAGCTCAGGTGGATAACAAAGTGCTCTTGACCGCTTCTGCTCCGCTCTCTCGTCTTCCCGCAGAAGATAGCGGGGGGAGCGGAAGTGGAAATATTGTAGAACCAAAGCTAAGAGCATACCAGGCACAGGCTGGTGATAATTCTTATTCCGTAGAGGTTGCCCAAATTGGTGATACGAAACATTTTGCAAGCGGAATATTGCAGTTCGATGCTTCGTATCACTAATGTATAGGTTTTTATTTATTTTTATTGTATTTCCCAGTATCATTTTGTGATATAGCGTGCGATGAGTCAAGTTTAAATTTATTATTTAGTGAACTTGTGATTCAATAGGAAACGTAATCTTTACAGTTGATCGACAAGTATAGATAGAAATAACGTTACGATACAAGGCTGATTCTGTATTTAGGTGATCGGAAACTGTGCAGGATGAGGCACGGGTGTAACACATAATTCGAAATTATTTAAAAACGTACGGAATTGCAATACAAATCGAGAAAGTGCGTTGTCGTCGAATGCAACGGATCTGCATACTACACATTTATTTTCTGTGCGTACAGAAAAAGTTTATATAGATCGTATCTAACTCGACTATCATCGATACGAATATTAAACCGTGTACATAGGTTTGGGAGACTAGTTTACATATAATGTCCCGTGCCTATTCATCATAAAGATGATGAACGTTAATAAGGGGGAAATGAGTAAAAAAAATATGCCGTAGGTGGAGCAGCCATCCCACCTCGTACTGATAATTCTGCAGCCGGATACTTGTTGTTTTATTTAATGCTATACAGTGTTATACAGACTACAGATATTTACAACAATATTATATTCTTACAGAGAATTATATTTACTTTATTATTGCAGCGCAATGTGCAATGACATAGCTCGTACATGATATATTTTTCACATGCATACATTGCAATATACAGCCAATCGACAGCTCAACAGAGTAATAATATTTATTATTAACAGTTATCAACAAACCGTGATCGCAACTATGCAGCAGATTGAATTAAACAATATATAATAAGGGGGCATTGTGTTTGTGCTGGTTTTTTTCTCTTATGTAGTTTGGAGAGGATTATTTTCTTTATGTATATATATATATATATGTATATGTATATACACATACATATATATGTATATATGTACATATATATGCATATATGTTTATATATAAATATATATGCTTATATATATATATATATATATACATACATACATACATACATGCATATATATCTATATATCTATTTTCTTTTTTATCAGTCTTTGCTTAAATTTATATAATTTTTAAATACTTGTTGATATAATTTTGAATTCGACAAGTTTCATCAGTATTATTAGGAATTACTTTTTGGAAAATTATATTTGTGGGTTAGGTATTTTGAAGGTTTTTCTTCATAAATGAAAGTAAATTCACGAATAATATCATTATCATGTCTATACTTGAAACTTTTTGATAATGCATATTTATTAGTGATATTTACGTATGACGTTATATATTATGTACGTATCTTTCTTTTTCTTTTTATTTCTTTTTGTATATACGTATTTACGTTTTTGAGGTTATACGATATAGATTTTTTTTTCTTTTGTAGGTTAAAAAGTATACGTTGGTTTTCTTTTTTTTCTTCTTTTTTCTTTCTTTTTTTTTTTTTTTTTTTTTTTTTTTGTTCTCTTATTCGACGATAGTATTTTTAATTATAATTATGGCAGAAATAAGCCAGCATAGACTTCTGCTACACAATTCCATAGCCATAGTACCACACAGTACAACTCAGGATCTTTTATATTATATTTTACAGATGACAATAGTTCCATAAGTACGATTTATGATAACGATTCTTGGAAATAAATAACTCGTCAATTATATTTCCTAGAATCGTAATTTATAAAATCGTACTGTTCAGATGACAGGCTCCTTACCTCACATACAATCAAATTACTAAACAGATGCAGCTATATATTATTATAATATATTTACATACAACAATTTACAATAGTACCGGAAAGTTGCAACGACTGCGACTACACATATTACCAATATTATACAAACGGTTTTTATTATCTGTTATTACATTGGTAAGTGATTGCAATGTTTTTTTACAAGTTAAATGTACTGCGAATGTACATTCGAAACTTTTGTTTACAATACAAATGGATGCCCAGCATAACTAACAATTAGTACCGAAATAAGATTAGATTATAAATGTTGCATATCATATTATAATATTGTTATACATTTGCCAAGCAGAGTTACATTCGCCAATTGTCAGGCATTGGATCAGACGTGGGTTTTGATTTGATTTGATTTGATTTTTTTTTTTTTTATTGAACCGGAAAAAAAAAAAAAAGAAAGAAGAAAAGGAAGAAAAAAAGAAAACAAAAAGAAACAATATTTTCAACTTTGTCCTTAATGGCAGTACTATAATTGATAAATTGACTAAAGCGCCTTGTAAGTATTTTCAATAATACCGATTCTGTCTTTTATACAATTTTAAAATTTATTCACACACACACATATATATATATATATTTTACAGATAACAAAAGAGAGTGTAGTATTAGTTGAATTTTTTATTTATGAATGGCCTTACATTTTAATCGTATAACAACATACACAAGAGGTTTTTATTATACAATAATACTATATGCAATAGAGAGATATATGACAGTAAATGTACAGATCTTTGTTACAGCCACCAGTGATTATGGTTATCGTGTTTAATCATACATAGATTCATAAAAAAAAAGTACTCGTGTACTTTTAACAGTTTTTTACCAATAGAGCAACTTAAATCCGTTGAATTATAATAATGGCGTTACTTTTGAAGAAGGCCTAATTCACTAACTTTTTATATCGTCTCATATATATGTATATATATATATGTATATATATATATATATATATATATATATATATATATATATAACTGATCCATTGCCTGAAATCCATATACTATGTATATCAGAGTGATGTGTTACAGAATATCACACAATAGTAAGCATCATTTGACAAGCCATACTTCGCTGGGCATTGGAAACCGGTTACCTAGCTATATTACGCAGTGCAGTTTTTAAATCTCACTGTTACACTTACAATTATGTCGAGTTCTGATTGGGTATTCGATGGTTAAAAATTTAATCATATTGTGGGTGACAGTAAAACTAAAACTAAAATTAAAACAAGACAAAAATTAACAAATGATTAAAACAAGCAAAAATTAATCAATAAAAACATACAAAGCAAAAGCAAAAGTCGATCGTTCGGTTGATGATAGCATATTTCCATATATGCTAAGTTGTACTCTTTAAATATAGAAAAAAAACCAAAAAAAAAAAAAAAAAAAAGCAAAAGAAAAAGAATCAACAATTTCTGGCTAAACTACACGGTTTACGAAGCAAGGTCCAAACTTATACAAAAAGAAAAGGAAAAAAAAAAGAAAAGAACAAAAAAAGAAAAAGAAGAAAGAAATAACGAAAAAAATATCTCTTCTGTGTATTCATGAAATCGATTATTATATTCAGTGAGGGTATAAAAGAGGGGGTAAGAAAAGGCAAAGCAAAATAAAAAAGAAAAAGAAAAAAGAAAAAAGAAAAAGTGAGCTAGTGATAGAGATAGAGAGTGAAAGAGAGAGTGAGAGAGAGGTGAGAGAGAGAGAGAGAGAGTGAGAGTAAGAGTAAGAGTAAGAGTAAGAGTGAGAGTGAGAGTGAAAGTGAGAGTGAAAGAGAAAGAAAGAAAGAAAGAAAGAAAGAGAGAAAGAGAGAGGAAGAGAAAGAGAGAGAGAGAGAGAGAGAGGAAGAAGAAAACTAGAAAAGATGAAAACAAGTACATAACATGCATACTTGCCATTCCTGAAAGCATTAATTATATTAATACATATTTACATACATACGTACATACATACATACATATGTATATCCTAAACGAAGAAGAGTAATTCTTGGAAAGAGCATTTCCGTTTCGCGTTTATATCGCGATTTATCGTCTGCGATAATAATTTGTAATATCTCTTATCATCCTATTATCGACTAGTAATTGTATTACCATTATTACATATTATCGTCAAACTACTACTATTTATCATTTCGAGGAGGTCCCCCATCTCCTTGACAACTTATATATGTTAAGATAAAAACATATCTCGGTTATCTTTTGCCGAGTATTTCTTTGCTAGACGCTTCTTTCAATAGATATGACGAAGAAAAGAAAAACAATACAAAGGGGGGGGGCGGGGAAGAAAGATAGATAGATAGATAGATAGATAGAGAGAGAGAGAGAGTGAGAGAGAGAGAGCGAACGAGAGAGAAAGAGAGAGAGAGAGAAAGAAAAAATACGAAATAAATAATTAAGTAAATAAGAAAGGAAGGATAGAACGATAGAAGGATAAGAAATCACACACACTAATCTCTCTTACTAATGCATTTAATTATGTGTTGTATATATGTAAATTATTATGCAATTTGTATGGGCGTGTCAACACAAAGGAATAACAAAAGTAAAAAAAAAAAAAAAAAAAAAAAAAAAAAATAATTAACAAGGTATTTCATATTCGCGAATCGCTAGTTACTAAATAGCCTTAGGTGTAGGTATCTATCATTGCTACCTTGATCAAACAAAAACAAAAAAAAAAAAAGAGAAAAAAAGTAAATAAACAAATAAATAAGAAAGGTAGAATACGATTTCTTATTCGAATAAATGATTGGGATGGAGGAGGGTATGATCTCTTTCTTCTCTTGGCGAGGGAAATTTGAGGAAAAAGATAATTAAAAAAATGATAAATAAATAAATAAATAAATAAATAAATAAGTAAATAAAAAGTATGTGGTCTCAAAGGAACAATTGCACAGTAGAAAGAGATAGTATTATGGTGCGGGAAAATACGAAAGATAAATTTTCATCTAGTCATATTCGAATGATCGATAAAATGTCGATTTTATATTTATATACATATATATATATGTGTATGTATATATATATATATATATATATATATATATATATATATACATACAAGTTTTATATATTAAGGAGAATTTCAAAAAGTCACCTTTCAAAATTTTTTCCTTTTTCCTTTTTTCTTCTTCTTGTTTTTTATTTTCCATTTTTTTTTCTATCCATTTATTATAACATTTAGAAAGGAAGGAAATAATTTTATTTATATATACATGTGTATCATTTATAAATTATCAAGTTCATATCATTTTTCATTGGCATACAAAATTAAAAATCTTTCTTTTTCTTTCTATACCATTTTTATTTTTATATTTTTTGTGTTTTTTCTTTTTACCCTTTCTGTACTTAATAACAATGACGACGATGACGACGACGACGACGACGACGACGACGACGATGACGATGATTAATTTTAACCGACTGTCGATAGTAATTATCTATCTATTTATTTATGTATATATATATATATATATATATATATATATATCTTAACGAAACTAATGTAATTAACGTATTCTGCCTTATTCATCTAATTGTCTTTCATTAAGTTATGTGAAAGGATTGATTAAGTTAAAGCTTATTAGTTCGATCATTAATCGATTAAATTAATCTAACATAAATTGGATCTCATTGGGGAGAATAAAAGATAAAGAGAGACGAAGAAAGAGAGAGAGAGAAAGAGAGAGAAAAAAAAAGAAAAAAGTAAACAAAAATAAAAAATAAAATTGAAAAATGAAAAATGAAGAATAAGAACAATATATGTATATATATAACCCACCGATAATAAAAGAAATTTTTTTATTAAAGATCGCCTCTCTGTTCGAATAAGAAATCGTTAAATTTTTTTTTAACGCAATACCTTCGCGGCAGCAGCATTTTTATGTAAATCTTTGTTTCTTACACATTTACGTATTAGAAAAAAGAAAAGAAGGGTACGAGAAAAGAGAAAAAAAATAAAGGGAAAGATTGAGAGTGGGAGAGAGACAGAGAGAGAGAGAGAGAGAGAGAGAGAGGTATAAGGATCGTTATCTAACTTTTTGAAAAGAGAGAGAGTTAGAGAGTGAGAGTGAGAATGAGAGTGAGAAGGGTAGGGGAGCGTAAGCTTAAGCAGTATATATGGCATTTATAATTGCGCGCGAGGTAATAATATCTAACGAAAAGGTAAAAAGAGAAAGAAAACACACATACACTCTTACGACACACACACACACACACACACACACACACACACACACACACACACACACACACACACACGAAACACACGCGCGCGCACTTGCGCACATATACAGATAACCAAACAGAAACAAACAGATAGACGCATATACAAGTGCAAGAGGGTTCTTTGATTATTGTGTATATATTATATATTATATAAACATTTTTCAAACCCACGTATCCGAATAACACCGAGTATTTCGCTTTTGAAAGTAGTCACGCTAATATTTAAGTGCGATATTTATTCGAATCATGGCGTATCCGAAGTAAGTTATATTACCTAAGTGAAATTGGAAAATGTCTGATAGTATATTTTCAGTCGCGAATATAGGTATATTTATGACGTATTATTATTCTTATTATTATTATTATTATTATTATTATTATTATTATTACCGTCATCATTATTATTATTATTATTATTATTATTATTATTATTATTATTACTACTACTACTATTATTACAATTATTAATATTATTAATATCAATATCAACGACATTAACGTCACCGTTATCGTCGACGTTATCATTGTAATCAT